AAAAAAAAAAAAAAAAAAAAAAAAAAAAAAAACCAACCAAACAAACAAACAAAAACTGGAGTCCACCTTTGCATCAACTCAGTTCCCAATTGCATTGAGGTGATCTGCTTCTACCCTATTGCATATAAAAAATAAAAATAAATCAGGCCAAACTTGGTGGCACAGTCAGTAGCATACTGAACTACAGTGCTGGAAGCCACATGGTTGACCACAGGTTTGGATTCCCAGGTTGGCCTATAAACACACTGGAGTTACATGTGCATATGTGTCAACATAGGATCCTGAGGAACTGGAAGTTTTTTTTAAGAAGATCTTGGCATGATGAGACTCCTGTCAATGGTGCTTATCCCTCTGTCTCTTGTGCATGCATGCTATCATGAACAAAATAAATAAATTTTTAAAAAATGAGCACTTCTGTGAAAATAACATTATCCAGAGCCTCAGCTAGTTTTTACAAAATTTTCATGTAAAATGATTGTCCTTTCATATGAAACAATCACTCATGCAATAACAAAACTAAACAAAGCAAAAAAAAAAAAAATCCCAAAAGTAGAAATGGACCCAAAGGAAATCTAGAGACTGGAGTCATCAGTATGGACTTTAGAGTAACCATACTTTGGCTTGTTATTTTGGAGAAAGCAATAGGATGGCAATGTAAGTGAACTCAGGGAAGCAAAAGAGAACATGGAAATATGTAAACATGGAGCAAATTCTTGGCTGCTTAGATAAGAGGCTAAAAGAAAATGATTGATCAGACTCTAAAAACAAAGTCACTAAAGATCCCAATATATTCTAAAAGAGGAGAAATTGCTCATCAACCTCTTGTTCATGTTCCCAATATAATTCACAACCGGGCCCACTACATCCTGATTGACACCAACTATACCAGCTTTTTATTAAGGTCAATCCGAACATGGTACAATCAAAGATGAACTGTCTGTATGTCATGTGTATACCCTGTATAACTGACTGTGTAATGGTGAAATGGAGACGCTAATGCAGAATTTCAGACAGCTCTAAGAAATGTCAAGGATTCAGTGTTTGAATGATGACCATATTCAAAGCTATTCAGAACGTTATAGGTTCAGGCACACACTTGACATGTTTTCAGGCCAATCCAAGGATCCAAGCCTATGGTTGGCAGGTGGCTTCCAGCACTGCAGTTAAATACACTATGGACCACATCACCAAACTCAGCCAACTGTGGCCACTTTAGGTGAAACTCTTAACTCAAGAATTCAGCGGTTCTGGGAACCAGCAGTTAGCGTAATGGCTATGTCACTGGACTTCCACGTAGTCGACCGCGGTTCGCATCCTGGACCTGGTGGCTTAAAACTCACGCCATGTGGGAGCATGCCCAAGATCCCGAGAGAATGGAGGAGAAGGGATTGCGGTGTGACTATCCCCTCTGGGGGGTGATTTCTCGCTTTCTGTCTCTATGTCTCTCTCTGTCGGTCTGGCGAGTGCACGTGCCCTATAGTGAAAACTTCTCCAAAAAAAAAAAAAAAGAATTCAGCGGTTCTCATCTTGTACATTTCTAACCATAGTTATAGTATCAAGAGAATGCTAGATGTTTATGGAGACTATCTGTTATAGCTTTATGAGACAATTATCTGCTTTCCTTATTGGGCTGTTTCTATGGTCATTAAGTAGATTCAATCATTGGTATAATATTTTAAATAGATTTGTCTTATTTAAAAATTTATTGAAACAACAATAAATTAGTTCATCTCAGAGTATAAAGCTGATAATTATAGCAAAAATTTTAAATGACAAGATGGGGAATTTTAGAAGTAATAACAAAGAAGCAAATCAAAACAGGAAGTACCATCACTGAAAGTAAGAACTGAGCACCGCTAACCACGGGGCTTGAATCCCGGCACCGCTCGGCAGAGGCATGGGCACCCAGTTCTTGCCCCCAGCCTGGCAGCTCTACCTCAAGGACTACCTCGTCTTTATGTACAAGAACTGGCCCTTCTTGGAGGGCGACTCCTGCACCCCAGAGTGGATGGCGGAAGCTAGCTTCATCCACTCCCCCACTGAGAATGAGCCCGACCTGGCCCAGTGTTTCTTCTGCTTTAAGGAGCTGGGAGGCTGGGAGCCAATGATGACTCCATAGAGGAACATAAAAAGCATTCATCCAGTTGTGCCTTCCTCTATGTCAAGAAGTGGTTTGAAGAATTGACCCTCGGTGATTTTTTTTTTTTTTTGCATGAGTTTGACAGAAAAGCTGAAAAAAAATTTAAAAGAA